GGCCAGGAAAAAAGGCAATTTACTTACTTTTCAATATTTTCTTTCCCAGTAATGGGCCATAGCAGCTACAGCCCCACCCTGATTTGTATGGCTTTATACATACTGGTGTCTAGAGGGGAGGTATTTATAGAAAACCTTTGTTTCCAATCCAATGAGAGCAGTGCGCAAAGGTATAACAGGAGTAGTGCTACCATGCTTGGGAAGTATTAATAAATACTCTTTCCGTGGCTAATTCTGGCCCTTCACAATGATCATCCAAAGTTGTACAACTATAGGAAAATTCACTTCCACATTAACAGAAGGACAAGGTCAGATTTTTGTTGTCAAATCACGCCAAAACAGTTTGACAGAAGCAGGGCAGGTTGCTTTCTTAGCCCTACGAAGAATAAACTCTAGACTTATTTCCCCTCCTGTGTGAAAATTCTATATGAGAAGTTTTCAGTCAGCAGTGCCCAGATTAATTTATCCTGAAATAGAAATCAAACAACAACGTGGATAAACTTGGGTCTGACTTAAATGTCAAATCTTCCAGTTATTTGGACCCATGTAAGCATCTTAGAGATTTTTGCAGGCACACACACAAGTGTTCTGAAGACGGTAAGGAAAAATGGAGCAAATGTTATACTGTTGTTCTGGTACAGGAAGGCTTGGTTTACAAAGACCATGGAGCTGTCTCAGGACATCACCTAGAAAATATCTTGCAAAACTTGAATACTGGAGTTGCAAGGCATTCTTCCTGGGACATCAATAGTTTACATTGAACAGCAAAATTGAGGAAAAGGACTTTGTTAAAATCCAGGCTTTAGATGACAAGGTGATTTCTATTCTCTAAATTAAAAAAAAGATTTAACCAGCAACATCAGAAAATAGGGCAGGTTTGTTAAATGGTGAAGATGCAAGAAAATAGATCCTAAGTTACGCCATCATTCTTTATACATAGTGTTTGGCTGGTATGTGAAAAAGGCATGGTATTGGTGTTCATTAAGGTGCAAGTGGCAGTTCTAGATTCATGATAAACAGTTCACTACACACCTAGCTCATCTTTCCATGAAAATGCTTATGTATGCAATTACCATTTTTAAACACTAGATTCAAAAGCTGTTGGCCTCCCTATAGTCTACATTTTGTGACTTAAGCTTTGTATGAATCCTTCAACTCTACTGAGGTGTACATACCACTCTTTGTTATATGTGTATATTCAGTGCCCTAAAATTATTTCTAGAAACTGCTAGTTGGTCTAAAGTGAACAATCCAGGCTGATATGGCCCAAATATGCCAAGACCTGCGCAGCCTCACAGGCCGACTGGGAACACTGGAACAAGACACCCGCCAAAATGCGCAGTACACGGCGCTGCTCCAACAAGCCATGGGCGAGCTACTGCAACAACAAGCTAACACAGAAATAAGGTTCGCTGCACAGGATGATCAAAGGCGAAGTTTAAACATCAAAATAAGGGGAATACCCGAAGGTAAACTACCACATCTGGTGAGAAGACTCCTGCCACCCAAACAGGCAAAGGCAGTGGAAAGAGAGTGTTGTGTTTTGCTTACCGAAGCCTGCCAAAACACCATCCTCTATGCCTAGAGATCTGATGATTCGGTTTCAAAGGAGCAGAGATAGGCAGGCTGTTATGAACCCAGCAAGGCACCACTCTCCATACTCATTAGAGAGCATCACACTCATTTTACATGGATCAGTCTGGGAGCACACTGGCTTAGCGCCGCTCACTCCAGCCCTTCATGTCCACACTCCAACTAACAACATCCAATACAAGTGGAGGGCACCCCGCACGCTACAAGTACACCACGACAACACCCCTCCAAGATGCCACAGTGCTCCTACACACCTTGGGACTCCCGCTGGACTTTCTAACTACTATCCGGTCGATAGTACCCAAGGCCCTAACCCAGGCCTTGAATCCTGCCACAGCGACTCCGTTCGTCCCCAAAAGGCCCACGACGGACACATATACAGCACCTATTACCTGAGGCAACTCAGACGGCCTGCAGTGTCAGGCCTGCCTCCACCTTTTTTATACGCTGTTTTAATTTGCACAGTCACATTTTTGTTAGTTTAATACGTTATTCGTTTTCAATTATTTCTTATAAAACACTTATCCGCTAGCTATGTTTACTTGCATGCACAGCACCACATAGCAGCCAGACACATTATGAGGCCTGTAAGTGTACCCAAACTGGGCCATACACACTCAGCTCCCACTCATGCTAAGGGCCCAATCCCATACCTTATTGCAAGCAAGATTGTTGCACCCCCCCCCCCCCCCTCGCCCAGGGGTAAGCCTCTCGAGAGCATAGACACTCCGTAAAAATTCCTATAATTCAACAATATCTGAACACCCATGGCACAGGCAGCCCACCCACTGCGTAACGTTTAACGATCAAATTACCCAACCACTACAGAAACAGCCACCCGTACACCAAAAAGGCACCGGCAGCCAATCTTCCAACCACACAACAGTTCAAACCACCTAAATATTCAGCTAGCACTAGCTTGGGCCTGCACAGCCTCTTAGGTAACTCTAGGGGCGACACCTCGCCATGGACACACTGCAACCACTTACTTAGGCTAAGACATCACATATAGGATTTGACTTTCTTAAATGTACTGCAATTGTGTTGAGTTGGTTTTTCGTTATTCTTTTTCATACATTAACGATGCATGATACGTGGTTCAATTTCATGATCCCTACGAAGTAAACTACGTTGTCTTGTTTAAAAACATACAAAATTAGGTATGATGCCCACTGTTGCCATAAAGAGCATGCTCTATGATGTACTATCTTCCACTATTATGCCATTGTACTTGTTATGCAAGCTACTAAAAAAAAAAAAAAAAAAAATATTATAAGAACGTCTCTTCAACCTTTCGCAGAAAGCAATAATTCTGAATAGCTGCTCACTGGCTCAGACAACACCAGATTTGCTCAAAGTCTGTTCTACAAAGGTAGTTTCAACATTGTGGGAAACCAAAGCACAGCTTCTGTTCCTCACCACATATTCTAATAAAACACTATTGACCGTACAAACTGGCTTCAGATGTTATGGACCTTGCTACATCCCATCACTTAATAGTAGAGTTTACCAGACAAAAAAAACGAACAATTCTTACCATAAAACTATGTTGGGAAAATGTAAGTTAAGTGTAAATTATTTTGTATTGGCTCCATGTGCCTTTTGTTAATGGGGATATTTTTGGAATGGACGACCTGGTAAATGTACTTTTTATGTGTTTCATATGTACCTGTCGTGCATGTAGGACTGCTGATAACGATATTGCGACTATGAAAGATTAAATTAAATGTAAGAAGATAATGTGTTTTTTTTCTCTTGTTTTTATTCGTCATTTTCCTTGATGCTACACTTTGTTAACATTTTTTAATTCAATAAACACATTTGGAGTAACATACCAGCATTCTTGTCTTTTTATTACACACGGTTTGGTGCCCCATTCCCCCTTATTTGCTCCTCTTTAAGGTTAGTTTTCAACCAACAGAGACTGCAAGATGCTTTATATAAGGAATTACATACCTACTACATTTTCAAGTGGTGGTGTGTTAAACTACCCCCCTCCTCCCCTCCCCCAAAAAATTAAAAAATCTCGATAACCACCACATTTGAGTTCAATTTACAAATTTGAGATTTTATTAATTATATATTTATAGGGGGGAGAGCCCTAATGCGCAGCAATGACCTCGGTCGTATTTCCCTATGGGGATAGCGTGAGGACGTCCAGCATCAGGTGTCTAAAAGTTGCCTAATGATCCGGAAGTTCTTCTAGTGGATGTCTGGTAGACAGCCACTAGAGGTGGAGTAAACCCACAAAGGTAATTATTGCAGGGTTAAGGGTGCTGAGACACAGCTCAGTGCCTATATTGTCCCTTTTGTTTTTTAAATTCTTTATTTGTAACTCACTTCACTTTTGAGTCAATAACAAAGTGCTATGCATAACACATTAAAACATTGCAGGAATAGGCAATCTTGTTTGAGAAACAACAAGTAATGGGAGGGTTTTTGATTATGGTTGTACGAAGCGTATCATACAGTAGGGACCTAGCCAGCAGATTCGGAAACAGCCAGCCAGCACAGTGGTAAAAATGTACCCCCTACCCACCCACCTAAATTGTTAATTCAATGTAGCCAGAATAGATGTAAGAGGATGGAGTGAGTGAGATACTACCCTCTGGAGCAGGGGTAGGCAACCTTTGGCACTCCAGATGTTTGGGTCTACAGCCCCCATAATGCTGGCAAAGGATCATGGGAGGTGTAGTCCAAAACATCGGGAGTGCAGAAGGTTGCCTATACCTGCTCTAGAGTATACGTAAATCGACCTAATGGGAGAAGTACGAGGATTCTCATGTTTCTGCTACCTAGGGACCAAAATCACATAAGAGCAGTGAGGGTTAATAATAAAAAAAATAGATGAGCAACGGAAATATTAAATGGAGACCATGAAAGATAAATGTCTAAGTGACAGTAATAAACCAACAGATGCCTCAGTTGATCTGCTGAACTTATAAGGGCATCACCTTCTTTTCAAAAGATATGCTCTGCAACAAAACAGGAAACAGGGAGAGTAAAATAATTAGATAGGCCAATTACTTCTTGCTAAGAGCTCACTGCAGATGTCGATCAATGGTGAGTATATTTTTATTCATGTGGGAGTGTCCTTGTAATAGATTCCTTTGTTGTATCACACCGAAATATTGTGATGGGGAAGCAACATCCGGTACAGTCTTGGAATGGTATAATCCGATATTTACATATTCAAGGAAACTTTTAAAAATAAAGGGCCTGATTTAATATTGTTGAATAAGATTTTAAAATGATTTAATATTTTTGGATAAAAGATATTTTTTATATATATATATATATATATATATATATATATCTCAAAGTATATATAAAAAAAATTTAGAAGTAAAAAGAGAAAGAACAACAACCCCCCCACAAAAAGAGACGCAAACAACTTGGCAAGAACATAGTTTTATATAAAATACTTTATTGTTTTTGAAAACATTTAAAAAAACAATTTTGAGCACTTTCCATTAAAAAAAACATAACTGAAATCCTACTGCAATTTTAAACTACTGTAGTTTCAGCAGTACAACAGACAACAAAACGAGGGGAAGGCGGTAATCTGTATTTTTTGCAGAGTATGTAAATATGAAAGGGGATTTTGTTTTTGTAATGTGCTGCAGACAACACACATTATGCTGTATCTATACAGAGACTCGTATGCAATGCATACGATCTTCCTTTCATAGTCCAAAGGTCTAAGTATTGCAGCTTTTTGCAAAATTATCGTTTCATGATGTACTATCATGATAAAAAAGGGGATTTCATTTTAAAAACACCAGAAAAGAAATAAAAAACAAAAAGAAAAAAACAAACTAAAAAAAACAAAACACATTTAACAACAACTAAGCTGAATCGGTAAACATAAAAAGGGAAATAACCTGTGAATAACTATGCTTGCCTGGTCAACACAGAACAAGAATTTATTACAGCAAAAAAGTGGTTACAGGAATATAGCGAGACTGTACAAGGTAAATAACACACATGCACATTGTGATCATGTATTAACATGGTGAAGCAACTAAACGCAATTTCTTCCTGCTGTAATATTCTCATGTTAGAGAATAAGAAATAGATATATCTCACTGAGATAAATGCACATTGCTACATAAGACAATTGTATCTGTCATTTTTATGACATTTCGCTTTTTTTTTTTCCTTAATAGAATGAAATTCATAACAATTATTTTATTTATTTATTTTTACTCTGGGGCGAAATAATTGCATTTATCCAAAGAGAGGTGCCATGCCACAGGTTCAAACAGAAATTTAGTGCAATATATGAACCCGAGAACGTTTGTCTGATTAACCATTCCCATTGCGCAAGGTGCAGGAGGAAATCTGAATCTCCTTTTTTCGCTTCCAGGCAGTGTAAAAAGGCATTAAATGGAGAGAATACATGCCTTCACTGAAAATTTTTAAAGTGTTTGCTGCAATACTGTACATATGTTGCATCGGCAACATGTTTGCCTATTGACTAGTTCACGATTAGTAAAGTTAATTAACCCGTTTACTGCTAGAGAAACCTAGACCACATTAACGCAGCACACCACTACACACCAATCTAGCAGTAAAAGGATTAATACATATACGTATATATATTCATATTTTATTTATTTTTTTTTTTAAACAGGAGAAAGCGTGAATTATTAACATGCAAATGTCAACAGTTTTTTTTTTTCTTCTTCGTTTAACAGGTTGATGTAACTGGCCTGCTAAAATTATAATTAAAATAAATCAAATTTAACTTTGGGTTTCTTTTTTCCTTCTTTTTAATACTTTGGTATGCAATAGTGCTCCATCTCAATGTACAGTAGTAACAAGAGCAGGTATTTAAAAAAATTAAAAATAAAAAAAAAATACTTTTTTAAATACCAGCAAACACATAAAACGGCCAAGTAAACTTACTGTCACATACAAGTTTACAAAGCTCTGAGTTGGCCTTAGCACCTTTTGGTTAAAAAAAAATAAAATAGTTACAATGTTAATTGTTGCTTTTGCATCTTTAAAAAAAAATTTTAAACGACAAAAGCTGGCGGAGATAAAACACAATTATATTTATTATGCTGTACAACTAGAACTTCCATTAGACTTTAGGCTGGGCTGGGATTTTGGGATAGGTCAGTGTTCAGTTTTCGTAGTCTTCATCGTGGACAGAAAGTAAGTTTATGAAGTGCTGTTGAAGATAGCACAATGGTTTAGGAAGTTTTCACATACCCAAGCTTGCACACACAGCTAAAATTGGTTAACATGCATTTGTTTTTCCTTGGTTTTAAACCTTCAGTGACAGCTTCTTAATTCTGGATGACATGTTTGATTATAAAAAAAATCCTTTGTAGTACACTGTCCACGTTGGTAACTAACAGCCACCTCTGCATACGTTAAGATAAGAATGTGACAGAGAGAAACTACACAGGAAAGAGATCTTCCTACGAGCTACATCCATGTCCTAAAAAAACTTCCTTATCACCCTAATTAGAAAAGGAGGGTAGTCGCCTCTCTGCATGCAAGAATAGTAGGTAAAACGGATTAAGAAATCGCAAAGACAAATTGTAAAGTCCCATTTCTAGCTCGCTCAAAAAAAAAAAAAAAATTCAAAATTCTTTTAAAAAAATAGTTAAACAAAAACATGCAACAAAAGACACACTTTCTAATATGTACAAATATTAGAAATCTCAGTGCTTAACATTGGTTGCTGATCCAATCAAGGTGGACAGGATCTTGTAGAGCATCCACAACATCAACAGGATACTCCCATCAAACCCTACTCACTCTTTTCAAACGTAATGTATCCTTACATTACCGGATAATATTATTTTTTTAATGTTTTTGCTCGTGTGGGGAAGAAAAAAAAAATCCATCAGAAAAAAAAAAAAAAATCTTGTAAAATGCCACATGAAGTTAAAAAACATAAAAAAAAAAAAATATATATATATATATATATTAGTGCACTTTTTTTGTTATAATTTAGGTGTCATTCATGGTCATGTTTCCTTAACAAGAACAACCTTCCTTTCTTTTGAATTTGAACATGTCACAAACAATATGGTATTCGCATGGATACCGAGCTACCGTACTCAACAAGCCAAGAGGGCAGTTGTTCATTGTTTATGCCACAAAGACATCAGCAGTTCTTATACAGAGTATTGTCAGCAACAGCATGTTCTACAGTCTATCTAATTTTTTTATAGATAGAATAAAAAGAAAAAAAACAAACAAACCATGTTTGTTAGTGAAACTGGCTATCAATGACCATCAGCTGAAGTAAAATCGCAACAGATGGGCAAAAACTGAATTTCTTTTTAAAATGGACTTAATACTGGCTCATTAACTGCCCAAGTACTGCAGATATATGATTAGCATGTCAAGAACAGATGAAAGACAGATAACTTGTGCAGCAAACCTTTTTGAAAATCTCATAATTAGAAATGTTTCTGCTGCGGGAGGCACTTCCATTAAGACAAATACAAAGTCTGCCTTTTTGATACAGTGTGCTACATTTTAGTACAAGATTAACCCAACATTTCAACTGTAGGATGATCCTTGCTTTCCATCCATTCAAATCCAGGTGAGGTCATGGAGTTAATAGATTCATTACAGATCTGCTGAAACAAAGGGTCATTATTCAGCTCCTCCAGTGTAGCATCGTCATCCTGTCCGTGTTGTCGACCAGGATCAAACAACAGATTTGGATCTAGAGTGTTCAGATCATTGATGCTGCCTGAGAGATCAGAAGACAACCGAATGTCACTGGAGAAATCAGAGGCATTGTTCAAATCTGAAGCCACTTGAACTACAAGCTGCTGGTTGGTTTGGAGGCCATCTCCATCTAAAAGGACCTTCACGGTGCTGTTGAAATCAAGTTGTTGTTCTCCAATATCAGATTGTGCTTGGCTGTCTCCAGAAGTAAAAGTCATCTGATCAGTACTGCTGTTTTTTGTGAGGTAAGCTGGCGTTTGGAATTCATAAGCTGAAGTGCTGGAATTCATCATATTTTGTTGATTGGCACCAGAAAACATGGGCGATGTTTCCAAAATCTGAGTAAGATTCATTCTTGCAGTATAATTAGAAGGCATATTGTTTATTCCCAATCCCCTAACAGCATCGTCTCGATCAGAATCCAGTTTACTTAACAAAACGTGGGTGATGTTTTGTGTATTACTATTACTTTGTTTCTGCAGAGACGGGAAAGCAGTCTGCATCATTACCGTCAGGGGGACTGACTGACTCCTTTGAGCTATGGTATTGGCACTGGTATCTGGTTGGACATTAGTAAGCATGCTATGAATATCTGGTGTGATAACGTTTACAAAAGTAGTTGTATTAGATCGGGGTGCATTAGAAACAGGGCAATTTGTATTTCCACTTAAATTACGTTGGCGGTGAACAGCTGGGCTCACACTGCGGCACCTGAAATTGTTGTTTCCAGATGCATTTGTTGATTTGTTGTCTAAGGGAGCAGGGACTGCAAAGCCTTCTTGTTTGTTGGTACTACTTACAGAGGACAGCTGATGCTGTATTGGTGACACTGGCGTCAATCGGCCAAAGTGATTGTCATGGTTTCTGGATTGAGACTGATAGGATTGACCAGGCACTGCAAATGCATGTGGCTTTCTGAAACTGTCCTCTACCAGCTCTTTATAACTTGGAAGAATACTATGACTAGAAACGGAAGGATTTCCAACAGCACTGTAGCCATTATTCATCCACTCTAACTTGGTTTTGTCTGGGTGAGTAGCCATAGGCCTCTGCATTGGTTTCACTGGGCTACTTGAGACAATGCTAGCATCATGATAAGAGTTGCTGGAGCTTATAGGTGTAAATGCAAATGGATTTCTGCATTCTACTGGACTTGGAGGAACACTACTGCTGCAGTTAGAATGTGGTGTTCCAACTGGTGTATGTCGGCTACTTCCTAATGCACTATCTACAGGTGTAGTCTGAGCTAATCGGGAGCATGGGCTTTCTCTGGACAAACTCTGAGAACCAGAAATCATTTCTGATGTTGGTGTTGGAGTTAAGGTAGGAGTAGGTGTTGGGGTTGGAGTGGGTGTGTGAACTGGAGTTCCATTGCTATGTACTGAATGATAGAAATGGGAATTACTTGAATGAGTGGGGACGGGTGTACCATGGGTGGCTGTGGCTTGACTCTGAAGCACCATTCCTAAGCTTCCATAGTTCTGAGAATTGTTCATTGCCATTTGCTCTTCCATGAGCACCAATTCCTCAACAATGCTGTCCTGCGTGAGGTCATCATCAAAACAAAAGAAGTTCTCACTTGTTGGAGGATCTGTCAGATCCGAACGCTGAGGTAACTGGTTAGAAGAATGTGCTTGTAGCTGATTCAATGACGAATCTTCGATTTGCTGGCTGTATGTGTCCTGCTGTAATCCTTCGAAGTCTGCTTGCTCCCACACAGACTTTTGCAGGTTTTCAGCATCCGAAGTTCCAGGTATGTCCATAACACCAATAGTTTGAGACTGCTCACAATTTACAGATGTAAAATCTGAACTTTCAACAATTTGCTGCCATGCATTTTGATTAAAGGAGTTTTCTGCCTTTGAATCACTGACAAACTTAAACACACTACCCTCTAGCTTTACTTTAAAATCCTGAGACGTAACCACTAGTTCTTGCTGTGGATCAGTGCTCTTTTCGACAACACAACTCAAGGGATAATTTGTTACCAAGGTGGCATTTCCTTGTGGAGTCCCTTTGCTGGGTACTAAAGTAACAGCTATGGCATCACATTTTGTTGACAGCGATTTAGGAGTTTTCTTCCCACTAAGACCTCCTGGCTTTGGACATTCTGCAGTTAATGATAAGTTGCCAGTAAGTGATTTTTTCGCTGGTGGTATTTGAGAGTCCTGTGATGTACTTTGCAATCGTTTTCTTGGACTCTTATCACACAATCTGATGTCTTTTCCAGCTGGGTCAATATTAGCAATAGGACTTGAGTGATTGTTAAATAGATTTTGGGGTGTAACACATAAAGTCAGAGTTTGATTACTGCTGGCTGGAGAAGGAGATGTTCCTTCAAAGGAACGGCTTTTACATTTGGTCCTTGTTCCTTCAGCTCGCTGATCAAGGGCTTTGATAGTCTGCATTTCACGTGCAGCATCTTGGGAAGATTTAACACTAATACTATCCTGATTGAGTTTGTGTGTGAAAGACATAACAGGCGTAGCTCTTCTAGATTTAGAACCCTCAAGGGTCTCTTGGCACTGTACTGAATTCTCCTCTGTCTGTATCTCAGGTTCTGTTTTGACTTCCACGGATGATGCAGAAGGTGTGCCCATCCTAGGCACAGGAGACTGTAATGAAACAACAGAACCATTTCTGATATGAGGAACAGTCCTTGTATCATCTGGTGTACCCGTACTGCTACTCACAGAAGGGGTTTGTTTCACTGGAGTGCCAGCATTGCTAGGAGCAAGAGATATTGTAGTCATTTTCACTACATTCAGTGAGCTAACATGTGGAGCTGGAACCACAGTTTTGATTGGGCTACTTGTAAAAACCACAGTGGTGGGTGAACGGATCGTCAGAGCATTAGAAGTGGCTGGCTTAGGCAAGATCTGAGGGTAGCGATGTCGAGCAGACCGATCACCGACAGGACTGGCTGGGATATTTTGGGGAGTCTTTGGCGACTGCTTTACAGACTGCATGTGCTGAGTGACCACCTGCACGTTCAATGGTAGAACCTTTCCTTCTGATGAACCCACGGGACTTGGTGAGGTCACAAGTGGCCTGTTTCTTTGTACCTGTTTAATAACAAACAAAAACATTAAGTTACAATAAGAAACAATTATAAACACAACATAACATAATGTTGGGGGGGTGGGGGGGGCATTGTAGGCGACGCACAAGGAAGCAGTACTCTGCCTGCAGCTTCTCTCTGCTCCCTCGCGCGGTCTAATGATGCCAGGAGCTGGAATATGACGTCACTCCGGCCCCGGCATCATTACAGAGAGCGCGAGGGAGCAGAGAGGAGCTTCAGTAAGATTGCAGCTGCCCCGCACACAGAAAGATAACAGCCCGACTGGACCCCAGGGAAAGACCCACTCAGCTCTCCCAACAGTAGCGAGGCTGAGTGGGTTTCAATTAAAACAAAAAAAGTGTGAGAGAGCCTGCCAGAGTGAGTGAGTCGGTGTGTGAATGAGTATGTGAGAGCCTGTCAAGAGTGAATGAGTCCGTCAAGAGTGAGTGTGTGTCTGTGTGTCTGTCAGAGTGTGTGTGTGTGTGTCTGTCAGAGTGTGTGTGTGTGTCTGTCAGAGTGTGTGTGTGTCTGTCAGAGTGTGTGTGTGTGTGTGTCTGTCTGTCAGAGTGTGTGTGTGTGTGTCTGTCTGTCAGAGTGTGTGTGTGTCTGTCTGTCTGTCAGAGTCTGTGTGTGTGTCTGTCTGTCTGTCAGGTGTGTGTGTCTGTCTGTCTGTCAGGTGTGTGTGTGTCTGTCTGTCTGTCAAGTGTGTGTGTGTCTGTCTGTCTGTCCGAGTGTGTGTGTGTGTGTGTCTGTCAGAGTGTGTGTGTGTGTGTGTTCGTGTCAGAGTGTGTGTGTGTCTCGTCTGTCAGAGTGTGTGTGTGTCTGTCTGTCAGAGTGTGTGTGTGTCTGTCTGTCAGAGTGTGTGTGTGTCTGTCTGTCTGTCAGAGTGTGTGTGTGTGTCTGTCTGTCAGTGTGTGTGACAGCCTGCCAGAGTGAGTGAGTCGGTGTGTGAATGAGTATGTGAGAGCCTGTCAAGAGTGAATGAGTATGTGAGAGCCTGTCAAGAGTGAATGAGTCCGTCAAGAGTGAGTGTGTGTCTGTGTGTCTGTCAGAGTGTGTGTCTGTCAGAGTGTGTGTCTGTCAGAGTGTGTGTCTGTCAGAGTGTGTGTCTGTCAGAGTGTGTGTCTGTCAGAGT